TCCGCGCGACGCATCCGCCTCGCCCACGTAGGCTCGCGATCTGTTCCGCGGCCACATGCTCGATATTCCTGGATATTCGCTTCTCGGTTTCGGCGGATTGCATCGGACAGTCGATTTTCGTCTCATTTTTTTTCCGGTTGAAACAACGAATGATGAAATTATGTGATGTTAGATAACGAGGAGACAGGGATATCGTTAGAATAAGAATTGCACGTCGAGATGTTATTATATTTCATTTATATCTGATGACACATGATGTTTGTTCAGTACGAAGACATGGAAGCCGCGGTAATAGAAGTTCTACGACAGGCGGTCAGCCAAGACCCCAATGTCCTGAAGTCTGCAGAGCAAACGCTGAAGCAATGGGAGACTCAGCAAGGATTTTATATAGCGTTATATGTAAGTTTTTTTTATATAAAAAACGTGTTTGTCACTAGCTTGTAAAGTTGGAATATTAATTTTCTATAACATTTTCCATGTACATACTGGATTTATGGAATGTTACATGGAATATACATTTGTATAACGGATAGTATTTTTTAGGACTGCCTTATTATTGTATATTTCTTGGTGTTGATCCGAAAATACAACTGATTACACAAAAATTATTTTTAGAATGTTCTTTCAAATCATTCCTTGGCTATTGAAGTTAGATGGATGGCTGTAGTATATCTAAAGATTGGGGTTGAGAGATACTGGAGAAAAAATGCACCAAAGTAAGAGAAATTTTTTTTTTAAAAAGGAAGTTTGTTATCTGTATAAGTTAGTTATCATATTGATAAACAGCAATGTCATATATATAATAATGTACTGTTACTCTAGCGCAATTGAGGATAATGAGAAGGAATTTTTGCGACAGCATCTGCTCAGAAATTTTGAAGAACCTGTAAATCCACTAGCTGTACAATTAGCAGTCCTTATTGCCAAGATAGCAAGGTATAATATATACAATATATGTAATAAACTAAAATACTAATCTTATTATTTTATGCACAGGTATGATTGTCCTAGAGAATGGGGTACACTAGTTCCAACATTGTTGGAAGTTATAAGACAAGAAAATCTTTTGGCACAGCGTCAGGCGGTATTAACACTGCATCATGTTGTTAAGGCTTTGGCGTCTAGACGCTTGGCTGATGGACAAAGGATCTTCCGAGAATTGACTGCGACTATGTTCAATTTTATTCTAAATCTATGGAATACTTATACTGAATCCTTCCTGATTATGGCATCTAATGGGGCCGATGTCAATCAGACACAAGAAACCTTAGAAAAAGCACTTTTACTATTAAGAATACTTAGGCAACTGATTGTATATGGTTTCTCTAAACCATCCGAATCTCAAGATGCCATGTTGTTTTTGAAAGTCGTTTTTGAACGCGCAAAGACCTGCCTTGAGTGTCGTTAGTATTCTTTGCTGTTTAAGAAAAACATTTATTCCTTAACATGTTTAAATGAAATTAGATCTCTATTGTAAAAATGTATAATTTTTTTTCTTCTAGGAAAAACTTTAGCCTCTAGGGGTGTACAAGTGGACGTGTGCGAAAAATTTATAATACATTTGACCAAAGTTTTATTAGGAGTCTTAGACATGCATCCGTTTTGCTACGTGGAACTCATACCAACTTCTCTAGAGTTCTCCGTTTTTTACTGCTTCACAGAAACTGGCCAAGCGTTAGCATTTGAAAGATTTATTATTCAGTGTCTAAATTTAGTAAAAAGCATTTTATTATCGACATATTACAGACCAGCTAAAGTTATAGAAGGTACATAAGCTGTCATTTCTACTTGTTCATATGATTCATATTTCTTCCGTATTAACGATGTTTTCTTTCATTGAAACAGAGACGAAAGATCCATTGGTTTTGAGGGCGTGTCAATTGAGACAGGAATTTTTTACACCGGAAACATTAACGGAGATATGCTCCAGGCTTGTCACGCATTACTTCCTTTTGACACCTGCGGATCTTGAAATGTGGGATACTCAACCAGAAAGTTTCGGTAAAAACATGGCATTAAACAACGATATAATTATAAATCATTCAGAATAATGTACAACGATATAATTATAAATCATTCAGAATAATGTACAAAGATTGAACACAAATGAAATACAGAGATATAGAATATAAAATATATATGCTTGTTTCAGCCATTGATGACGGTGGAGAGTCATGGAAATATTGTTTGAGGGTAAGTAACTAAAGACATTGTAAAATTAATAAAATATTATAATTATGGTATGATATGGTAAATTTCTGGAGATGCAAATATATGTTGTATTGTAGCCTTGCACAGAATCCTTGTTTTTGGCGATCTTCCATCACTTTCGAGACGTTCTCGCTTCGGTTTTGGTTAATTTGATGCGACAGCATCATCAACCTGTCGATCCTAATAACTTGCACGCGATTCTAGTAAAAGATGCGGTCTATCGCGCGGTTGGTCTGGCTGCATTTGATTTATACGACGAGGTAAAAAAATATTATTATCAAGAATTTTATGTATAAAAAATGTTTATTTGATTTACTCAATGTGTTTTTATATAATATAGGTAAACTTTGATCAGTGGTTTTCGACGACTCTAAAGGAGGAATTAAAGATGCGAAGTAACAATTATAAAATTATTAGAAGACGTGTGTGTTGGTTGATTGGTCAATGGACTAGTATGTTGGAAGTTTTATTGAAAAAAAGTACTTGAAATGATTTCTTGTCTGTTATTTTTGTATTACAAATTTTTTGCAGATATCAAATTGAGTGCGGAATTAAGGCCGGAATTGTACAAGCTCATGATAGAAAAGTTGAATCCAGAGGAGGATTTGGGAGTTCGTTTAGCAGCAAGTAATGCTTTGAAACAGGCAATTGATGATTTCCAGTTCAATTCGGAAGAGTTTACTCCCTTCTTGGAACCTGTCTTCTCATTGCTTTTTGCGCTTCTTAAAGAAGTAAATGAATGTGACACAAAAGTACGCATAAATACGATAAATTGGTATTTATTTTCTCAATGTCTTGCAAATTATTTTTAAGAAGGTTTTTCTATTTTTCAGATGCATGTGTTGTATGTATTATCTTTTATTATCGAACGTGTTGGCAGTGGAATTAAACCACACGTTGGTGCACTTAGTTCATATCTACCTGAACTTTGGCAACAATCCGAAATATATAATATGCTGAGATGCGCCATAGTATCGACTCTGATACATTTGGAAAGAGTAAGTATATTATTTATTGGATATATACATAATAGATTAATACTGCTAATCTTTTTCTAATGCTGTTTTAATTATAACAGGCTCTAGGTTCTGAAAGTGTTATTTTAGAACCATTGGTAGTAGGTGTTGTTGCTCTGAGTTGTGACGTTAATCAAGAAGGACATGTTTATTTATTAGAAGACGGATTGGAATTGTGGATAGCCTTATTAGAAAACACACCTACCCCGACACCAGCTATAATGGATCTCTTCAGAAATATGCCAGCATTATTGGGTTAGTAATATAGGTTTGCTATTAATAATTATTAACAGAATCTAATAATTCGTGATGATATCCCTTTTTTCTCTGTCTTTTAGATCAATCCTCGGAGAATTTACGTTTATGTTTGTATATAATTCAGGTTTACGTTTTACTGAGTCCGCAAGATTTTTTCACTCAGAGAGGTTCGGTAGTCATCGAATCACTGAAAACACTTCTTAGTGATTTACGATCGGAGGGTAGAGTGATGGTATTGAAATTATTTGAGATTTGTCTTAGGACTTCCCCTCAACAGGGTGCAGAACTGATAAAGCCCGTTTTGCTAAAGATATTTGAGTAAGTTATTTCTTTCTAAGGATAATTTCTATCACGGAGATTTAAAATTAAAACGTGATATATTAACAGGAGAGTTTACTATGCCGATGAATACTCATTGGTAATGACCATGCATCTGTCTATCGTCGCGAGAGTTTTATTAGGTTCCCGTGATATTTTTGTACAAGTAAGTAAAATTATATCTCGATTTCGATTTTCATATGTCATTTTCATTGTAAGCACGTTCAATAACGAAAAATATTTTTGCAGGTAATCAGCGATTTAGCGCAGAGTATAGGAACTGAAACGAGGGAAGATGTCGTTCTTGGAAAACTGATACACGGTTGGGTCAACGCAATGCCGCTGGTGCCTCAGACCGAAAGGCGCAAATTACTATCCCTTGCACTCTGTTCTCTCCTTGGAGCGAACAGTCCACCCACAGTTCTTGAATATTTCCCGCAGATAATATCGAATATCGTCGAGACACTTAATGACATCACCAAATTCGATGATATGGGCTATCCTGTCGAGTAAGTCGATCTGAATATCTCTTTACGTATAATACAACGTATATCATATTAGAATAAAAGCATGTTATAATATAAGATTGAAATTTTTTCTATTAATGCAAAACAAGTCAATATCTTAATAATTTCATATTTTTTAATAAACTTGAACAATTATTCATTTATTTTTTCGTTCCTTTTATAATTGTTTGGAATTTTTTTTAATCATTGCAAAATATTCCGTCGTTAAACTTGAATATTATATAGTTTCACTCTAACTTTTTAAAGAGAGCAAAATACTCTTTACATATGTCCACAAATGTACAACTAATACATTAAAAATTGTTTTAGTTCCTTAATGATTAGTGATCAGCCCAGTCCTTCGCAATATGAAGATGTGGATTACGAAACTGAACATGCTCAACGACAAAAGAGACTTGTTTTTAGTGATCCTGTGCATAGTATCTCTTTGAAAGATACTCTCCAAAGTCAGGTACGAATATCTTGCCAACATTTTTTTGGACATTTAAAAGTTATTCAAAGACTGAAGACTTTCAAAATTATTAGTTGATCACGCTGCGAAGTATAGTTGGAGATCATCAATTTGACCAATTGATGCTTACTCTCAATTCCGAAATTGATGAACAACTCAAGGATTACATATCGCTGTGAAGAAAACAAGATCAAAATATAATGCAGGAAATATCGACAAATGCTACATAAACGTATGAGAAAGAAGCTTTACAGCGTTCTACTGTAAAACGGTACTATTTTACTGTATAATATTACCATCTGTTTCATTGTATTAATAATGATAATAAAAGTAATCTTGGCCTTGTTTATGTTTCTGAAGCTTACAATATCCAATTTCTTTAAAACGCAGTGACAATAAAATCATATTCTTTCACTTAAAAATGTAAAATTGGATAGGACCGCGAATGAAATTCAGATTTTTGTTTCACACTGTGAAGCCAACTTTTCTAATATTGAATTTTTCATCATTGATTTCAAATTTACTTGTAAAGACAATTTTATTTTTTAGTCGAATTTTAGTACTCTACACTGACAAAAAATTTTTAAGAAAGTAATACGGATAATTTTAGTAGAAAATTATTACAATACTATTCTTTTTAGCGCTTTTTTTTCGCTTTCGTCAAACTTAAAATATATATTTATTTTATGTCAATGAATATAATTCTCTCTCTTTCCTCAGTTCATTTCTAAAGAAATGTAGTTTCTAACATCAGACATATTCGAATCGACACATTGCTCGACTCATTCAGTAGTCTTCAAAATTCCATTTACGGAAAATCGCGTTTTCAACGATATATATCGATTACTCATAACATATCGATTCCATCATGTATCGATACTCCCACTCGGGGGGACCACGTTCCGATCGGTTTTTATTTCCCCTCGCCCTGCGGTATGACTCATTGCCGCGTCGGACGCGACGCTCGCGCTGTCTATTGGTTGTCCGCGGAGTCGCGAACAGCTGTCGTCCGTGTGGCCTGTGTCAAATCGTAGCAGGGGGTTAGCCGAGAACGCGTCGAGGCTGCCCCGGATTGCGACACCGGATCGACGTCCGCTGCCCGCGAGGATCCTCTTCAACGGTGAGTGAAATCGACGCCCTCGCTACGTATCTTGGGACGCCGTTCGCATTTACGCCCGATAAGACCCGGCGGCGGTAAACGTCGCGTTATCATCGCGAGCCTTGCTCCGATTACGTGTGCACGACGCTTGGCGCGCGCTCGATCGATTCGCGCTCGACGACGCTCGCCCGCGTACTCTCTCTCTCTCTCTCGCGCGTTCGCTCGCGAGACGAAAAAAACATCTGGCCGGAATCGTCGTTCACGCATCGGCGATAAGAGGCGCGATAACGTTAGTCGTGCCGTTTCACCATCAGGCCATCTCCTCCCCCGTCGACGGTGACATTCCGCGTCGCCGCACCGGTCGCCGCCGGGACGGCCCGGCGGATTTTTGAATGATCCGTGAATGAGCGTGTGTGGGCGTATCGGTCACGTGACCGATCGTAGCGTATATTGTGATCTGCCCTCGCGCACATCCCGGGGAAATCATTGATGACTCCCCTAGATTCCACCGCTGCGTTGAGCTAAGGAGAGATCCGGTTCTCCGGTATATTTATTTATTTTTTTGTTCTCTCTCTCTCTCTCTCGATCTCCCTCTCTTGGATTATTCTGTCTGATGCTGCGCGATGATGCACGAAGATCTGTGCTCGCATATTAATTACAATGGACAGTGGATAAACACGCTCGACTTCACTAATGTCAATTGATCTCTCAATAACTCGGTGACAGATCCTGCTACAAGTATTGCATGAATTAATTTTCCGAACGTCTGATCCACTTCGAATCTGTCGACAACTCGCTGAGAAGAAAATAAAATAATTCAGCGCTGAGACATTAAATGAATTATTTCGTTTTTTCCCCCATACTCCGGATTGTAATTTGTTAGCCGAGACGAACCGTATCGATAACATTGGCTGTTAACGAGTAATTAGAGATTGGCTGCAATTAGTGTCGACGCGATTGTTGCTGAATCGTGGTGTCCCCGTTTAACGAGCCCGGCTGATTTTCGCCTCGTACGAGTGTCCCGTTCTTTTTTGCGCCGTGAAAAATCGATACGACTCGTATCTGCTCGCCGGTCGATGTTGGCTCCCGCGTCGCTTAATATACGGGCTTAATGACAAATAATTTAATATTCGCCGCGCGAGTCGCTCGGATGTGAATGCCGAGGGCGGTATAAAAAGAAAAATCCCGCTCCCGCACGTTCGCGATCTCCTCCCCTATCCCCGCTACGCTTCTTTTTATTGCATCCAGCACATCCGCTTTGACCTCCGACTTTTACCGCGTGTCGCATTCGTCGTTCACGTCCCCTGGCCACAAGCCGCGCGACCGCCAAATTCAGGGATGAAATTTGCGCTCGAATCCCCTGCCTTTTAGTCGTAGAACGAATAAGGCGTCCCTTCGTCGGGTTAGCCTGGTAATAATAAATTTTTTGGATTTAAATATCAGAAAGTGAATTACTTCCGGAAACCTGAGTAACGCAGGATTCTAAATCCAGCTTATATGCAAATTCGGCGAGTGAGTTTGAATAATAGGAGATTCGTTGAATTAAGATGGTAAAATGGGAAAGAATTGATGGGGATTTGCTTCTGACTTTTCTGGAAAGAAAAGACGAATTGGAAGAGATTAACGCGAATTGCGTCAGCGAAACGAATTTACTAATTTTTATTAGTCTTGTAGATCGGAGTAAATTTGAAAATTCTCGATCTTTTTTTTTGTATATTTTTATTTATTGTGATTTCTGTATTGATAATAAGCATTAAGAGAGAAGTTGTCGACGAATAACTCTTATACGAAATAAGATAATTTAAGAAGAAGGATGAAGATCTTAATTGTGTAAAAGAAAGAGAGAAAAGAAATATATATTGAATACAAAAAGTATATGCAAAATTTTTAGAATATTCTGTACTTGGAGGTGCATAATTAAAAACATTTGCGCGAATGCAAATTTTTTTATATTATTTTTGTGAGAAAAATTAAATTCCGTTAATACTTTATTGTACAGCGATTAGTTACGGAATAAGCCATTCAGTGGAGCGAGATGTGATTGGATTACAGTGTCTATATCAATATATACGTTCATTATATGTAATTCGATGTAATGAAATTTCAGTATTAATTAATATCTCAGTACGTCAGATTTGATATAACGAGTGGGCAGAATTTAACGTATCGCGATTTTACTACATTTCGCTAATAATTAGCATATAACCGCATGGCGCGCACGTGCATCTCATCCCTTTTTGAATTTTTATCAACGGTATACTTCATTTATACCTTAATTCGCGATTTTAATATTTCCACGCGAAGGTTGCGGCTACGTCGTATAGAAAGTTGCAATCTATAAATATTATAAAATTTAATAACGTATAACAGATAAAATTGCACGAAACACATGTAATTTATAATATTTATAATAATCATGAATGTCAAACGGTTTCTTTGAAAATACGAATAATCATATCGGAAAATCTCATTGTCGATTGCGTGATAATTCTGATATCGGCGGGTCATCGATTATCATTGATACTATTTATATTGTAGGAAATGATTTCACTGCGCACTGATTAGGATTGCGATTGAAAATAAATCTTACGGAATGTAAATTACGAATGTTTCCGACATTCACGTTTTACATGTTAATTTTATGCACCATGACGTTCGAAATGGCATTGTCACATGTAGTTATCTCATCATTGACAGTGTTATTTAAACTGCCATGACGAATTGAGTTAGCATGTAACATTATTACGAGAGAGATCTTTATTTTTATAATTTATGATATATTCGAAATAACTGAGATGATGCGAGCATCATTTGTCGTAATTTCAATAAAAGGCAAACAATAATTGTTTGAACACGGCAGAAATATCGGCATGTAACATTAATTCTTTGCATTAGAGTAGAATAATTAATCTTGACATAAAATCGATACCAGAGTATATATCAGCTCTTATCAATACTGAGAAATAAATAAGATTGTGTTTACTCAATATTTGCAAAAATATGAAATTATTGTTTGTCAATAAATAATGAATACTATTCTGAATGAATTGTTTGTAACGAGCTCTCATAAAGTTCGCAAAACATGTGTAAACATGCGAAATTTTCACGATTAACAGGATCAAATATCTGATTGAAACATTAGAACGAAGTAAGCGTATATTTTTACAATATATACTGTAGAATATAACAGATAAACAAATTATGAATATATATAAATTATTCCACTTATCTTTTATAATTATTGGGCGGAATAGTATAAAACTTATCAGTTCCATAAATTTATTTTTATGTTTATCCAACATTTAAAATAATTAATTTGATATTAATATATACGCAGAATTTTATTTTTTATTCTCATAATCGTCTTATTTTATTGCTTGAATAAATTAGCAAATTCCAGATTTGTGAATTTTTTTTGTATAAAATGTAGAAGATTCTTTAAAGTTCACGGAAATCATTTAATAATAGTAATATTAGTTACAGGTGAAGCAGAATAAGACGCAATTTAATTACAAATGACGGTATCAAGTGTAATTGTGAAAATAATCTTGTTGATTCAATAATAACAGTAAATAACAGTATTAATGAAGTAAATGCATATATACTTTTTTCGTTAATACTGCTAATATAATACTGCTTGGATTAACAAGATTATTTTCAATTGCATTTGATGCTACTGATTCAAAATTATTATTTTTTGTCATGAAAGTTTATAAGATAGGTTTATTATGAAATAAATAAAATATATGAATCCTCCATCCTGAAGATATTTAAAATATTAAACAAGCTAATTTAATTGATAAAACATTTTTGAATAATTGTTTGATATTCTCTAGAATCATTATGAAAACATTAAAAATCCAGACATACAATCTAAAAAGTGACATGTTTAGATTTAAAACGTCTTATTCAAAAGAAACATTTAACAATAGAAGAATTGCTTCAGATTTAAACATTTCAACGTTTCAAATCGAAAGTTTAATCTAATGTTTAAGACTAAAATACTTATGACACCTTTAAAGAATACGGACAGGAAATCAAGCACTAATGTTTCAAAATTAAACACCTTCTCTACCAGTGTAATAGAGAAGAGTGTAAAGTTTGTTTTTTTCAGAAATCCACATGAAAAGGAATATCGGATTTTGTTATCAATTCTCGTATGTCTCAAATACCGAAACTACACGCGCACCACTGATTATACGAGAAAGTATGCGGCGATAAAACGCATAACGCAACGAGGAATACGAGTGGTGCAGTGATCACCGTTGCCTCCTACTGCGCGCGATGTGTATTTTTAGAAATATTCTACCCAAAACCGCGGGGGTGGCTCTCGTACGGCGGATACAGCGAACTTCGATATTAACCGCGAGAGGAAGGGGGAGGATCTTATCAAATGATAGCAACACCATGACTCAGTCGTACGTGTTTCTTTGGGTCGCGGGTTTCTTAGCAACGGGTTTCCCGCCGTCAAGTTTCGCGAATTTGCAGAAAGTTTCGTATTCCGGACAAATCAGTGCTCGACTTCTCTGAGAAAATTCCATTTCACTGATTTTATATGAGACATG